TGTCAAACTCAAGGCCCGGGGGCCAAATGTGGCCCTTGTTGATATTTTATTTGGCCCCCAAGATGTTATTTTAAATGTAAAATACTTTTATCACTTTATTTTTTTTTCCAGTAATCTTTGATTATGATATTAAAAGTGCAACAGAGAACATCGAATGAGACCAATCAAACTCTTGAGGAACCTGCAACCAAGAAAAGATTTTTGGTATCTAATTTGAGTTGATGTAGATTCTGAAACCGGCCCTTAGTTTGAAAAAGTTTTTAATTTTGGCCCCCTTTTGTAAGTGGGTTTGACACCCCTGTCCTAGAACATGAGAATCCCCTGATGGCCCCCTTATATCCAGAAACTCCAGGAAGGCTGAGTAATCTGAACTGTTGTTAGGTGCTTAAGCACAAACAGTCAGAACCTTCTTTCCTACAGCCAAAAACAGCAGAGCGTACCCTCTCATTCACTGGGGAAAACTTCAACATCAAGGCATTCAGCCAGGGGCTTGCGAGTATCGAGGCCTCTCTCCATGGGCAACTCCAGAGTAGGAAAGTTCAGCCTCTTCCTAGGAGTTGGTTTCCAGAACCCAAGCTGTGCAAGCTAGTTTATGTCATCAGGAATTGGCATGGTCAGAGACCATCCATCAGCTACCGCCCAACTTACATGGCACCTAACCGTGACACTTATCCTTGCAGGAGGTGGGCCTATATGGACGTGGTATCCTGTCTCTCTTTCAGGTCCAACCAAGCACCAGGAGCCAAGGATAGACCACCAGGCACTTGCCATTAAGCTATCCCCCAGGCCTGGCTCCAGTAGATGCCCCGATTTACCTTTTTGAGGTGAGGTTTTCTGATGTATATATATTTTTTTCTTAATCTTAGTCTGCCCCTTATGCTAAGGCCTGTCTACCACGAGTGACTACCAGGGGCTGATGCCCCAGGCAAAATGGCCCCTGGGGTCAAGGGGGTACTCAAACCCCTTCAACATCTTAATATGGTGATTCTACAGAAGGGGTAACCAAACCAAGGCATTTTAAAATGACCGGACTATCCATTTAAATGTTGCCCCATTAAATGCTAGTAGAATCCAAATGACAAAAAGTCTGAGGCTATTCTGTAAGGAGACAGCAAAACATCAGAAGATAATGAAAGGCTAAGCTATCATGGCTGCTTTCACATTTTTCCACTAAACCTAACTAATAAATCAAGTAAGATACCAGTCAGAACTTTTGATATGCTCAAGGTGTTAATATTTTCACTCATAGCACAATAGCAATATTCTCCCAGTCGCAAACACACAGTCAAGTTACACTAAATGTGGAATTGATGTTTTTAATCATTTGTGCATGTTAAATATATATATATATTTAACATGCACAAATG